AAGAACACAGCCACACAGCCCAGAAGACCCACACCAGCCATCGTATGCCGGCCGTGAAAGCCTTCGACAATACAGAGAAAGCATCACCCTTAAAGGTAAATGATGTCTAAATAGCAGTAGCTAAGGACTGAAATAATGGCACTAAATAAGCTTGGAAAAGGCCAATATATTCACCCAATCTAAATGTGTTGGAGAAGACTCCTGAGAATACCATGGGCAGCCAAGAAAACAAACCGATGGATCATTGAACAAATCAACCCAGAGTTCTCACTTGAGGCACAAATGACCAGGCTCAAATGATCCTACTTCGGACACATTATGCGAAGACCCAGCTCTCTGGAGAAGGCCACCTGGGAAAGGTGGAAGGAAAGAGAAGAAGAGGACAATCAGTAGTAAGGTGGATGGAGTCAATCACAGAAGACCTGTAAAGGACCAGGTTAGGGACAGATCATCATGGAGAAAATCTATCTATGTCGTTACCAAGAGTTGACACCAACTTGATGGCAGATATCAATCCAATGGGTGAGGGGTATACATTTCTGTTCCCTATACCCCACCCCATTGTTTTCTGCCTGCTATGGCAGAATCTTTGGCTCATTTTTAACAAGTGTTCGTAACATTCGTTGTCAAATTTATGACGCTACCCTATCTTCAGCATTGCTATTGCAGCTTGGGAGCAACAGTGCAGAAGCGTATATTTCCAGAGCAACGCATCACATGAGCATCCTCTGGTCATGTGGACATTAGAAGCACAAGTCTTGCGCTGCTGGGTCTACAGAATTAACTTTTAAGTCTCATTATCCTTACTGTAAATTAGAAATTACTTAGGAGAGTAAGAGTGAGTGAGAGAAAAGAAGAAAATATACCAATCTGTTAAGCCAAAAATGCAACCTGTCACTTTCAATTAACTTGCTAAAAGGTTGTTAATGAATAAATATTGACTTTTGGAGGAAATGCTGCTTAATCGGATTCAGAACCATGTGTATGATTTGACAAATGATCAATAAGGAGTGAATGCATTCATGCTAACATGAAGGGAACTGCGCTGAGAAACAGGCTCCCTGTTAAATGATGCACTTGTTGTCTGGCAAAGGAAGCATAAGTTACATTTATTCTTCTATATTTAGAAGATGTTTTCATAGAGGGATGGATAGATTCAAAGCTATCAAGCACAAAATCTAGAATTTCTACCAAATGAAATCTAAGACCTGAACTGAGGCTCAGCTTACACATTCTAAACCAATGTTTCTCAATGTGTGGAAACTGCCGTCTTCAGAGTATTTGGGCAGAATCGGTGTGAGGCAGCACAGCCTCTTGGCCAGTGACAACTAGAAGGGTGGAACTGGCAAATGGAACTTCTGCTCAAATGACTCAAGTAAGCAAGCCAAGCCTCGTGCAAATCTCCTCCCTGAAAATGCCACCCAGTGGTTCATTGTGCTACCAACAAGCTATGATACAGGTGTGCCACCTCAGGTCAAATGAACCTTTTCCAACCTGTCTTTAAGAAAAAAGCATTATTATTATTATTGTTGGTCACGCAGTCAGCCAGATGTTTATACTGGATTTGGCACTTTTATCCACCTGTCGAGTCCTTCCCAAGGACTTGGGATAGGCAGATATTGTTTGATGGTGTTAAAGGTATAGCTGCAGGATATAAGCAGTTCCAAGTAAAACTGCCTTTTGTAATTGACTGACGGTGATTTTGTCAATGCTGATAGTCTTCAAGTGGTGCCCCAGATGTTTTGGGATCGTACCTCCTTCTTCTTCTTCTTCTTCTTCTTCTTCTTCTTCTTCTTCTTCTTCTTCTTCTTCTTCTTCTTCTTCTTCTTCTTCTTCTTCTCTTCTTCTTCTTCTTCTT